TTAATCCATTTGTACGTGAGTTTTGTGCATGGTGATAGATATGGGTCTATTTTCATCCTTCTACATGTTGACATCTAGTTATGCCAGCACCATTTGTTAAAGATGCTTTCTTTCTTCCATTGCATAATTTTAGCTCCGTTGTCAAAAATCAGGTGTTCATAGGTTTGTGGATTAATATACGGGTCTTTGATTTGAGTCCCTTGGTCGTCATCTCTGTTTTTGTGCCAGTACCAAACTGTTGTCATTACTGTAGCTCTGTAATAGAGTTTGAAGTCAGGGATGGTAACGCCTCCAGAAGTAATTTTATTGTATGGGATTGTTTTGGCTATCCTGGGTTTTTTATTTTTTTTTATATAGAGTTGATTATTGTTCTCTCAAGGTCTGTGAAGAATTTTGTGGGGATTTTGATGGGGATGGTGTTGAATCTATAGATTACCTTTGATAGAATTGCGATTTTTACTAAGTTGATCCTACCCATCCAGGATCATGGGAGATCCTTCCATTTTCTGATATCCTCTTCAATTTCTTTCTTCAAAGACTTAAAGTTTTCGGTAGAATTTCCATTTTTACTATGTTGATGGTCCCTATCTAAGAGCATGAGAGTTCGTTCCATTTTCTGGTATCTGGCAATTCTTCCAATTCTCTATATGGAAAAATAAAACAAATGGAATCGAATCGAAGACCTGGATATTAATTCATAAACCTATGAACACCTGATTTTTGACAAAGGAGTTAAGATTATACACTGGAAGACAGAAATCATCTTTAACAAATGGTACTGGCATAACTGGATGTCAACATGTAGAAGAATGAAAATAGATCCATATCTATCACCATGCACAAAACTCAAGTCCTCAAGTGGATTAAAGACCTCAATATAAATCTGAGCACAGTGAAACTGATAGAAGAGAAAGTGGGAAGTAGTCTGTAACACATGGGCACAGGAGACCACTTCCTACATAGAACCCCAGTAGCACAGACAATGAGAGCAACAATGAATAGATGGGAACTCCTGAAACTGAGAAGCTTCTGTAATGCAAAGGGCACTGTCATTAAGACAAAACGGCAACCTACTGAATGGGAGAAGATCTTCACTAACCCTGCATCAGACAAAAGCCGGATCTCCAAAATATATAAAGAACTCAAGATACTAGACATTAAAACTCTGATTAACCAAGTTAAAAAATGGGGTACTGAACTGAAAAGAGAATTCTCAACAGAAGAAATTCAAATAGCCAAAAGATAACTAAGGCCATGCTCAGCTTCCTTAGCAATCAGGGAAAGGCAAATCAAAACAACTTTGAGATACCATCTTACACCTGTCAGAATAGCTAAAATCAAAAGCCCAATGATAACCTATGCTGGAGAGGATGTGGAGTAAGGGGAACACTCATCCATTGTTGGTGGGAATGCTAACTTGTGAAACCACTTAGGAAATCAGTGTGGCGGTTTCTCAGGAAAATGGGAGTCAATCTACCTCAAGATTCAGCAATTCCACTACTGAGAATATACCCAAGAGATGCCCAATCACACTACAAAAGCATTTGTTCAACTATATTCATAGCAGCCCTATTTGTAATAGCCAGAACCTGGAAACAACCTATGTTCCATTCAATAGAAGAATGGATAAAGAAGATGTGGCACATATACACTTTGGATTTCTACTCAGAGGTAAAAAACAATGGCATCTTCAATTTTGCCTGCAAAGAGATGGAAATAGAAAACACTTTACTGGGTGAGATAACCCAGACCTTCAAAAAGGAATATGGTGTGTAATCACTTATAAGTGGATTCTACCCATAAACAAAGGATTTGGGCCCCTAATTCATGATCCTAGAGAAGCCAGATAAGAAGGTGAACCCAAAGAAGAAGAATATTTATCGTCCTGTTTAATGGAAGTAGACAAGATTGCCGAGCAGGAGTTGGGAGCATAGAGGTGGGATGGGGATAAGGGGAGATGGGGAGAGAAAAGAGAAGGGTAAGATGGGGGGAGCTTGAGAAAATGGAATGGTTGGGATGGAGGAGGGGTGGATGTGGGAGCAGGGAAGTAGATATCTTAATTAAGGGAGCCATTTTAGGGTTGGCGAGAGACTTGAATCTGGAGGGGTTCCCAGGTGTCCAAGGAGATGTCCCCAGCTTGTTCCTTGGGCAGCTGAGGAGAGGGTGCCTGAACTGGTCTTATCCTATAGCCACACTGATGAGTATCTTGCATATCACCATAGAACCTTCATCTAGCAATGGATGGAGATAGAGACAGAGACCCACATTGGAGCACTGGACTGAGCTCCCAAGGTCCAAATGAGAAGCAAAAGGAGGGAGAACATGAGCAAGAAAGTCAGGACTGTGAGGGGTGTGTCCACCCACTGAGACGGTGGGACAGATCTAATGGGTGATCACCAAGGCAGGTTGGACTGGAACTGATGGAACATGTGATCCAACTGGACTCTCTGAATGTGGCTGACAGTGGAGGCTGACTAAAAGCCAAGGACAATGACACTGGGTTTTGATTTTACTGCATGGACGGGCTTTGGGGGAGCCTAGTCTGTTTGGATGTTCACCTTCCTGGACATGGGGGGAGCAGGGAGGACCTTGGAATTCCCATAGGGTAGGGAACCCTGACTGCTCTTAGGACTGGAGAGGGAGGGGAAGGGGGGAAGGAAGGGAAGTGGGAAGAGGGGAGGAGGTGTAAATTTTCAATAAAAAAATAATAAAAACCTGGAAAAAAAGAATTTGAGAGACAGCAAGGAGGGTGCATGGAAATGATTAGTGGAGGGGAAAAGAAATATGAAAATGATGAAATTGTGTTATAATTTTAAATATAAAAATTAAGTAATAAAATTAATTCTCTGAGACAATAAAAAGGTCATGAAAATAGAGGGAAAGTGCAAACAAAGGAATTTGAGAAATGGACTGCTAATGTTTACTTCTGCTGTCCTGACACAAGAGATATTTCAAAGATGCCCTATAGTGTTGTGTGGGAAAACAGAGAATTGAATATTTCCTAAATTTCAATGCACAAATAAATCAACTGAAGACATTAAAAAAATAAAAATAAGACCTTTCCAAGGTGAAAATGTTGTCAACCCTTCCTTCCTTGTATCCCTGTTGGGAGATGGCTTTTATCCCAGGGCATTTATGTGATATGAACTTACCACAAGTCTAACCAGATGCAGAACACAGCAGAACCACAACCAAACCACAAAACATGGAAACTGGCAGAAGTGCTCCCCAGAGGAACTGCTGGTGTTGTCTGAGAAAAACCACATGATGTAGGAAAGACAACTAAGGCTGCCCTTGTGAGGTGTGCTTGTCGTGTGTCATTCTTGAGGCAATCAATCTATAAAGTCAACGCTTGCCCGGTGGTGAGCATCGATGAGGTTTAGCACTTTCTTTCAATGTCTGTCAGATCCTTGCTTGCTCCAAGTGTGCCTTTAGGAAGACCCCCACAGCATGAACCAGAAACACAGTTCTCTTGGGAGGCAACAGGTGAAGGAGGAGGCAGAGCACACACAGTGTTCTCAGAGGGACTTTGGACGGTTGGGAAATGACAACAGAGAGCAGAAGAGGAGGACAGAGACCCATGTCCTGAACTCCACAGTTGTGAGACACTTTCCTGGCATTCCCGATTCCTCTTCTCAGAGAGCCCAGCCCTTCCAAAGGGCAGTTTCCTGCAAAAGGAGTTAGTTAGGCAAAGCCACAATCCCCAGCCCTACCCCCACCCCCAGGTAATACCACCCTCTTGCAAAAGAGAGGTGCACACATCTCCATCAGGGGTAGCTGTGAGTATAAAAAGGAAGGGGAACCTGGTTTGGGTAGGACGTACCTAGACAATATCAGTTGCTACAGGATTTTCACGGAGTCTAACCAGAATGCGATGCCCAAAGAATGGCAGGTTCCCTTTGCCTGGGTACTGAATGGAGCCAGCCATCTGTGACAGCATGGACAGCCACGTTCTCTCTATACCATGGAGACATCAGGCATAGCCATCACATGCCCCATCCTCCCAGGGAAGCAAGGACGATTCCGGCAAGCAGAAGGACAGTATCAGGACTGCTATTTCTGGATTCACCATGGATCCATTTTCCCAAAGAAAGTACTTTCCCTTTGCCCAGAGCTAGCCATGAATTCTCGTTAGTTGCTTAGGCTCCAGACTGTGTCAGACTCTCTGAAAACAGACAATCCTGATATGTAGATAAAATCTTGACATTGCCTTTCGTTTTCCCAGTAGGCCCTTAGAAAGGACATTTAGTGATCCTCTAACATGGGTGCTTTGCTTGACAGCTGACCATTGCCACTATGGAGAACCAGACAGTAGAAGGTAGATGTATCAGGCGATTCTTCTTGTAAAGCTCCTTCCAGTTAAGCCTATAGTGTACCATGACCTATGTGTGGGATGTGTGGGTCCCCCTGACCTCTGAAGTCTCAGAGGCTCTCCTCAGCGACCTCCCTGCCCAGCAGACCTTTCCTACCCTTCCTGTGTCCCTCTTCACACTGCTATGTGTATTCTCCTACAGGAGTTCCTTTGGTTTTCTGAAAGCCAGAAGGTGCCAGAAGACTTCACTCTGTTACCCCTCTTACCCTTCCCAATCCACGTTTCTTCCTTCACTCTATCTCACCCACAGGGAGCCTCTCTCACACTTTGGCTCCCCTTCACTTCTCCCTAGGCAGTCCTCTCCTCCACAGCCCAACTCCATTTCCTTCTCCTCCTCCCCACAGATTCAGATCTGCTAAGTCCCATTCCATTTTTAGATGATACTAGCTCCCTTCTCTCACAGGCTGAATTGACAGCTCTTCCCTCCTTCCCTGCTCCACCCAGCAAGCACACCCAGTGTTTTCCACAAGGCAAAGTGCTTACAGACAGCATGCTATACACACAGAAATGTGTATCCATCAGGACAAACTTATGCCCATGGTGAGCTCCCAACACACTTAAAAGCAACAGGCACTGAACGTCTAAAAATGACAACTTTATTTCAATAGTTGTGGCACAACTTTGCCAATTAGACATATTTCACTAAGTCATAGACATGGATATGAACATCATCGTCAGATTTCATCAAGTACACCGATGGTTTGGCTTCTACTTCACCAATCACTTTGCCGGTCCTTTTAGAACCGTCGTCTTGGGTATATTCCACAATCTTGCCTATCAGCCCATCCTTAAATTTCAGTCTTAAATCTGGTCGAGGAATCTCATTGTATTCTGGCAGGATACGGAGGTTGCCCTCTTTATAATCATCCAGAAGCTGGTACATGTATAAGGTGGGATCATTTGCATAGGTAATGTAAAACCAGGCATTAAGTATAGGAGCTTGGGCCAGAACCATCCCCCTCCAAATATCTTTTACACCTTGCTCACCCTCAAACAAGTGCTCCACCGCTTTGCCAATTATGGTATCTGCAAAGTTAGGATCAGGGAGTGGGGATGGATTGACTGTATCAGAGAGCACCTTAAGGGACAACACTCTTTCATCTTGGTGAAGTTCCAACCCATAGACGCAACCAATTCCATCGTATTTCACAAGATAGAGAGGGGGATTAAGAGGAACCTGATGGAGAACCGTTCCTCTCCAATGGGTGATGGGCCCATCCCCTTCCTTCCACTTGTGAGAGATTCTGTGGCCCACGATGTTCCTTTGGGCCAGGGATGAAGATCTGTTCCTCTGCCTCTTCTGTGCAGGTGTTTTCTTGGTCAAATCTGCAGTCTCGGTCTTGGCGATCTTGTCACAGAACTCATGTCCAGCACCTGCATCTGCGGGTTCCCCTTGGGCCTCAGTGGTGCAGAAATACTGGGTGCTGGTGCCTGGGTCCATGGCTGTGTTGGGGAAACAGGAAGAGATAAAGGGTCAGCTTACTCATGGCCCCGCCCCGTTAGATGCCTCCACTCCAGGGATCTGTTCTCTAACCGTCTCCCACCATCACCCCCGGGAACCTGACGGCAAAGCTGGACACCTGGCTGGGTGCCTGTTGATGTGCTGTGCTCTCCTGGGTTCCCTGGTTCTGTTGTGACGGGCTGGAGACCTTCAGCGGGGCAGCGGATATGGAACAGGATTTGGACCTCCGAGATGCCGAAAATGGCGACGCCTAAGCCCAACCGTCACTGCCGCGCGCTCCATGCCCCGAGCCATGTGCCCTTTGCCCCGTGCCCCCCCGCTCACCGCGCCCTGTGCCTTTTGTGGCCCTTTGGATGCAGAGCGGAGAAGAGGGGCAAAGCTCCTCTCCTTCCTCCACCTTGCCCTTCACCTCAGTTTGCTGAGCATCCAGCCTGAGGCTCACAGCTCTTGCAGACTACAAAGGCTGCTCCCCTGTACCCATCTCTGGGCTTCTCTGAACTGGTTTCCGAATCTGCACTGGTCTTTTATTGCCCAGTTCCTGTTGTCTGCTGCGGATGTCCTCCCTGTGCCCTCTGCGTGCCCTAGGATTGCTACTCTGTTTCCCCTGCCCGCTCTGTGTGCCCCCCTCCCCCGCTCAGGCCTGGAACCCACCTAGAAGCTCGCCTACCCATAGGCGTCCTGTTGTGGGGTCCAGGGCTCCGTATGCCCATATTGGATACCTTGCTGCTACTTCTGTTTAAAGCCCGCAGCAAAGGCACCAGCCTTGGCGATGCTCCCAGAAGGCCAAAGGGATGATCCATCTGCCCTCCAGGGCTGCCTCAAAGGGTGGCAGGACAGATGACTGGAGGACCCGTGGTGTCCTGAGGCTGGTGGGCTCTTGGCATCTTCAGCTTTCCTCCCATGCAGGCAGCTGCCCTGTCACCTTGGAATTCCAGAAGCTGCTGCTCTTCTCTCATTCTGTATATTAATTTGTCTCACCCTTTTTATGCTTTCTTTTGCAGGGCTTTTTGTTGGTGGTGGTGGGATTTTTTTCTTTTTTGTTCTCAATCAATCTCTCTCTCTCTCTCTCTCTCTCTCTCTCTCTCTCTCTCTCTCTCTCTCTGATCTGTATCTCCTCTTGCATTTCTTTTCTGTCCAGTTTTCGTTACTGTGGTTCCTTCAAAGTCCTTTTATTTTTGTTGACTTTCTCATACTCTTTAGCTCCACCTTTCTACTTTTTTGCTTCAGATACTTTAGAAGTTCTTTAAATTATTTGTTATATAGTAAGGTCCAAAATATGCCCCTTTCTCCCCCAAAAGGCAGGGCCACTGCTTTGGTCCAAAATTGCGCCTAAATTAAGTTCAAACTGAACTCAAGATTTCTGGTAGATAGATAAAAGTCAACATTCTTCAGGAACTAGTGAAACTGGCTTGTCAGCTAAAAGGAGTCATTTTCTTTGCCTCTGCCTGGAGGGTCAAATGGCTCCACAGTGACAGACACCTATGATTGCATCCCACAGTCCTTGCTGGCCTTCAAGCCATGCCAGTCTAGAGTCAGAGATTTGTGAAACACGTTGAAGCACCTGGCTCCTGGCCTTCCTCACTTCCACATCTATCCTAAACTGCCAGGCCTCACCAGATCCCAGGTTCCCTACCCTCAGCTACTCATCTTCCTGGTCCATGCCCTGCTTTCCTAGCCTTGGCTATGTCTGGTCTCTTTCCTTTTTGCACTGCTCTGGATTCTTTAGATGCCTCTGGATGCTCTCTTACCCATCAGTAGTTTCTTAATTGTGCCCCTCACTGACAATGTCAAATTCACATGCAAACACAAAACTCACTAAGTTTGGTCATAAATAATACATCATATTATATACAAATGAGTTTTGCTTATGATGATGTGGATATCCAGTGCCACATAAACCCAGTGTGCGACTCAGTTCAATTACATTAGGCACAGGGTTAATTTCTTAGTATAACATACTGACAAACACACCTGTTGTGTGTTTAGTTTTTTTTTCTTTTTCCTTCCTTCCTTTCTTTTGTTTTTGATTTTCAATACAGGGTTTCTCTGTGTAACAGTCCTAGCTGTCCTGGAACTTGCTCTATAGACCAGGCTGGCCTCGAACTCAGAGAGATCTGCCTGTGTCTGCCTCCCCAGTGCTGGTATTTAAGGCACTTGCCACCATCAACGGGCTACTCGTGTTTCTTTAAAATAGTATATATGTGTACATTAGATCCAACTACCGGTTTTAAAGAAATACAGGCTTGTTTTACCTCTAAATCATTGTCATTGTGATTTCAACTTGTAAACAACTTGGGTTAGGTGCTCAAACATGCTATGGGTATGATTCATTTTTCTGTACTTTCAGTTTATGTATATTTTGTGGTACACAGCCTGTAATTCTGGAAATAATATTAGATGTTATATGAGGATGCTTTCTACTACATTTAAGTAAAACCAAATAAAGTAGGTTTTCTTTTTCAATAAATGGAGTATTTTTTGGACCGCCTGGCAAATGGAGTGGGTGTTAATCTAGGAACTCGGGTTAAGGACTGAATTATGTCTTCATCAACTTATATTTTGATATCTCAGAACTTAGCCCCTAAGAATGTGACTTTTTATGGAGATTGGGTCTTTGTAGAGGTAATTAAGGCAAATTCAATCATGTATATCTGTTGTAATCCAATGTTCTTATATTTATTTATTTATATATATATTTATTATATATATTATATATATAATATATATATATTTATTAATATATATTATATATATATATATATATTTATTATAGTTCTTACAATAAATCAGAATACAGAGGCACTCAGATAAGGTGACCTGATGTCAGAAAGGGAGACCAACATTTAGAAGCCGAGAGAAATGCCCTGAATACAGATAAACCCTTTATTTAAACTTAGGAAGTTCACAATTTTGAGAAAATAAGTATTGTTGTTTAAGCCACTGAGTCTGTGCTACTTTGTCAAAAGTGCCCTGCATGCAAATACCCTGTTATGCCACCAACAGCCAAATTTTCCTCTGTCTTCTATTTTATGTTCTCACTGTCACCCTAAAGTCTTAGAACTGTTCTCAAGTCTAGCAAAAAAAAATGCTTTCTCATTCACAAACACTGGGACAAAGAGTTATTTCATTGTAAAATCTTATCGAAAAATTTCTTTCAAAGTTATTTTGTGTTATCACACGTCATTTGCCTCCCTTTGTAATATAGTCCCCTCAAATGCAGTTCCTAGTTATTTTTTCTTTCTTTCTTTCTTTCTTTCTTTCTTTCTTTCTTTCTTTCTTCCTTATTAAAGATTTCTGCCTCCTCCCCACCACCGCCTCCCATTTCCCTCCCCCTTCCCCATCAAGTCCCCCTTCCTCATCAGCCCAAAGAGCAATCAGGGTTCCCTGCCCTGTGGGAAGTCCAAGGACCATCCATTCCACCTGCATCCAGGTCTAGTATGTGAGCATCCAAACTGCCTAGGCTCCCACAAAGCCAGTACATGCAGTAGGATCAAAAACCCATTGCCATTGTTCTTGAGTTCTCAGTAGTCCTCATTGTCCGCTATGTTCAGCGAGTCCGGTTTTATCCCATGGACTGCCTGCCTGAAAGAGTCTGAGTTTGCCCTGGCAGAATGGTGCAGAAAGCTGGCATTTTAAAATAGTGTGGCTTTTTCCTGCTACGGTTGAAAACCAAAAAGCATGATGTCAGCTTTTCATCAACACTATGTAAGTGTATGGTGGCAGGACCTCTTAAAAGAACTGCAAGGTTATGCAGCTAAAGCTGAGTGAGGAAGCCTCTCTTAAATGAGAGTGCTTCCTTGCCTCTAGCGAACAGAGCAGACCCGAGAAATTGCTGCTACTGAGAAGCCATGCATAATGCTGTTCTTTAGTTCTAGAATTACTTCCCAAGCTGTCTCAGGCATTATGTGGATACAGTGGTCCAGGTGGGCGCCATCTTACACTTTAAACCAAAAACCTTACAGGCTAAAGTACGCTTACTATAGATCAAAGGGTTGATTGTAGTGGGAAGCTCTTAAAATCGACTAAGATCAGAAAAAAAATTACATGAAGCAAAAAGCCACAGAGACACAATAGACAATTCATAATACTAATTAAAGATTTCAATAACTACTTTCAGTAGCAGTTAGGATACTAGAGAGAATTTAACAGTGAGATAAAAGACTTGAACAACACTAAGAAGCAAATAGTCTTAGAAGTACATCCACACTACATTCCACCCAAGAGTAGCAGCACAGAGATTTTTCTTAGCTCAATGTAGAACATTCTCCTGAGGCAGGAGAACTGAAAGTTCAACTACAGAGAGGAAATGTTGGAAAATAAAAATTCAAATGAAGACAAAATATATGAATATCGTCGGCGCCAGGAGAGCAAACATTGGGGTGAGTTTCTGACCCCGCGGCCGGGACAGGGAACTCAGAAGTTCCTCAACCCCCTATCCTTCTTGGGCTCTCTGCAGAGCCTCTACTCCCTGCATACTGCCTCTTTCTTCCTATCCCACCCAGCTTGCATCCAGAACCCTCCCCACCTCGGCCCCCCTGCCCTCTTTCGGCACATAACATCACCCAGCCCAGCCTGTCTGGGTGCTGGGTCCGTCCGAATCCTCAGGGCAACCAAGCGGGCGGGAGTTCCTTTGATTCACTAGCCTGCCTTCACCAAGCAAGGTAGGCGCTTTGTTTACGAGCTACCCAACCAGCACGGAGACCTGATCTCGGCGCCAGGAGAGCAAACATTGGGCACGGAGACCTGATCTCTGCGCCAGAAGAGCCAGCATTGGGGAGAGCCATCATTGGGCATGGAGATCTGATCTCGGCACCAGGAGAGCCATCACTGGGGAGAGCCATCACTGGGAAGGTACATCAGTAGGCAAGGAGACCTGATCCTGTAAAAGAAGAGTCCATAGGGGAGCATTCGGAGGAAGAGATGGGCAGGCGCCAATGCAAGAATTCACCCAACAATCTGAAAAGCAACATGAAGCCACC